GGTGCAACGATACCGAACAGTAGCTCCCATGAGGATGATCTGGAGCACTCCGATTATTGGATCTTATCGACGATGCGGGAAGGTTAATGGTTTTATTTTGGGTCCGATAGGATTTCGCGGGAGGCATTATGGGATCGCCATCGAAAAAGAGATGTTATATTCTATAGGTCGAGGTTAATTTTGTATATGAGGAGGACAGGAAGTGCTTGCCAAACGAAAAGACGTCTCGTGGCATCTTTGCCTATTGAGAATGGGAAAGTATCGTAACGCTGAGTAGCCATGACAGCATCGTTGTAACCACTAGGTACGTAGTTAAAAATTAAGTATAATATTTCTACTAATTAAAACCGATCGGAAAGTTTTTTACCATTATTATTAATAATAAATTGTGGAAGTTTCTGTCTTGTAGAACTCAAATACCACGTTAAGCCCATAATACAGTTTTTATTGTCTTCAGAAAAATTTGAATTCTGGAACTGGTTTTTGCACTGTCCGATTCATTTAATATCTCATTTGAGAAATGTTAGTAGATATGTTGATCACAACATTAGTTTTAAATTAAACTGATTTATTATATTGGAACCAGGTTCCTTCTAAGGCCGTGCGACACAGTTTAATCAAACTTGAATGAATTTAATAACGATTAACTGTGCAATGAAGAATAATATTAAGTTATTTAACAAACTCAATAATTTATCAGTTTTATTTATTCAGTATATAAGGGAGTAATAACTGTTCTATGGTCCACCCATCTTTCTTACAGTTTTGTTGTATGTACGGAAACGTGATGTAGGAAGGACATTAGGAAGTCCTCTCATTCGTCGGCTATAAAAGGCACGATGTACATAAAGATAAATTGTGTGGAATGAAGGTAGAGTTAGTCTCGGCATATGATTAGACAGTTGGGAGTCAGCAAAACAGAATCAGTATCCGGAAACTTACAAGGATGAAAAGGAACACAATTTTCTTTCATGAGATTGCGGTATTTGTTCTTGATACACATAGGTATATGTATCCGTCTCTTCATTATCCTCATTCTTTGTTGTATTTCAGGTGTAATCATTTATCTATACTAATGTGTAACACGAGAGAATTAATTACTCCTCAGCTCTATAGGATATTGCCCAAAAGCATACCCTCCTTTTGCTATTGATAAAAAAGCATACTTGTAATGGTTGAATGCGTGTAGCATTTGCTTTGCAATATATTAGGAATTATTTGCTTTGCAGTCTCAAAAGTATAATGGATAGTAGATTGAGGTACCTGGGAAAGTTCCAGTTTGCGCGACTAAGACCAGTCATTATCCCAGTACAATATCGTTTTAATCTACTTGATTGCATTTTGACATAAACTTCTTGAATCTTGAAATTAAGCACCGGTTCCACTTTAATCTAAAGACATAACCAAGTTAGCTATAATTTTTGATAGTCTCTTCAATTACTGCAATACCCAGTTCATAGTCCTAAATATTGGAAAGTGTTTTGTCAACTTCAAGCATGCTAATTTGAAAGAGAAATTAAATGAGAATAGATCATTTATTACATTGTTCTAATTAGATAATAAAGTAGGGTTTTCCGACCCTTAACGTAATCAGACTGGAGTTCTTATTTTATGCCACATGGAATACAATTCATCTATCAAGCAAACGCAAGATAGTGTAGCCGCTAGATGCCGCTGATTCTGGTGATAAAGTAGATCCGCAGTGGTATTATGTAAAAAAACATAAAAAACGTCAACAAAAAAACACCGACAAAATGTCATCTTGCAGGCCAGATAGTTTCTAAGGTGCAAATAGTTAATTCCACGTGTGCTCCCTATAATTACGGTTACTCTGTTGTGTTTATCTCTGAGAAGATGTAAAAGAAAGAAACTTGGCTCGCAGATTGCATCTGGATGATTATGTGTATTGGTCCGCATGTGTATAAAATCAGTGATATTTGCTACGTGAGAATATTATTACTGAGTATTCTGCCAATGAAACATATGGTATCTATTAGCTGTGACCGACAGGGTTATTTGTATGTTGTCTTTCCTGGAGAGAGGTTGGCCCGAGTACAGATAAGATGACTACGCAAGGCAACTGTTGAAATATACTCAGTAGGTTCTGCAAGACTAAGCGTAATGAAATTTTTACCAAAACCGTTGCACAACACATAAAAAATACAAATGAAAGTTGGAAAATTGACGCCTTGACAGTCGAAATGACCACGTCGGTACCTCAGGCTAGACATACGTCTTATCAGTTTTATCTTGTCACCTGGATTGCGGTATTGCCAGCTCATCGGACGTTTTTTCTACCTTTGCTATTATGCCAGAATATCATAAAAAAATAAACTTAGAATAAAATATGGAGGAATTCATAAGCTTCAAGGCGTTATAATGTTTGCCAAATAGCTGACGGTGATTCCGATAAATATTCTCGTTGTACGTGCAAGTACAAACAAAGCAGGACTGGTGGTGTTTATGTTTTATGTAAATTTGTATTTTTAAGAATTGTTATACAATTTTTAATCATATATATCTTGTGTCCGCGATTTGCACATAAACATACAACAACATTATTTATATTGTATATTTCCATGTGTATGAATAGTGTGTGTCTAGGTATTTTGGGGTAGCATCACGAGTATATTTTCATATTTAAATTACAGTGAAAATATATAATAATAAAAATAATGCATGTTAAATGCATTCTTTGTTATAAAGAACTTTACCTTCTTTAGGATGAATATGGTAAAACAACTAAAAAAATATATTTTTGTACAAATTTATTATAGGCTCCTACAAACTTATAATTTTATAATACATGACAATAATTGATAGAGATACTGTTTGTAATCTATAATTCATCAATCAGTAAAATCATAACAGTACCAGTTATTATTACAATATAATATTTTACCTATTACATTAATACTGGCAAGTCGATATACAGGGTTGGTCCGGAAAGTAATAGAACTCATTTTCTTCCGCCATGACAGTACTTCGGAGCGTGCGCGCACCGACTGGATTCGGTAGAGTGCGTTCCTAGCTAAGGAACGAGCGGCTGGTCAGTTGTCTCCGAGCACTTGGAGAGTCAGGACAGGCATTTTCGCGCGACGTGTTTCTGTGAGTGGTGCAAGCCGAAAATGCAGCGTTCGTTAGAGCAGAGGTACGCGATTAAATTCTGTGTGAAACTCGGTAAATCTGCGACAGAGACGTTTGATATGATCAAGCAGGCTTATCCAGGTGTTGCTTTAGCAAGAAGTGGTGTGTTTCAGTGGCACCAGGCCTTTGTGGAGGGCCGGGAAGAGGTCGCTGATGAAGACCGTGCTGGAAGACCTTCGAATTTGTTCCTCCTGGAAACCGTCAACGCCAAGTTTTACGTGGAAGTGCTCAGGAGACTCAAACGAAGGGTCAGTCGGGTCCGACAAGACATCGCAGCCGACTGGAAGTTGCACCACGACAACGCCCCGGCTCACACCGCCTTTCTTGTGAACAGCTACCTGACCAAGGCCGGCATCCCAACGCTTCCGCAGCCGCCCTACAGTCCAGATGTGCCCCCCCAGACTTTTTTTTGTTTCCTCGCCTGAAAAGGCCGATAAAAGTCAAGCATTTTGAGACGACAGAGGGGGTCCAAGCAGCATGCACCGCGGCTCTCAAGGCTATTCCGGAGAATACCTTCCGTGACGCCTTCAATCCTTGGAAATCGCGCTGGCAGCGCTGCATCGAACGCAGAAGGAGCCTATTTTGAAAGTTTTTTAAGAATTGTAACGATTGGCTCAATAATTTTTTTTAAATCGACTCAGTCCTATTACTTTCCAGACGAACCCTGTAGGTATATAGATATTATCTAAGATCAAGTCATGCAAAATTTTATATTAAAACTACATACATAGCTAAGATGAATATAACTTCATAACAGTGCGAGTTTCATTACAATGTGATATTACAGTAATACCTCCTACTAACAAGTCGATGTATGTGATATAAAGCCAAAACTTTCTTTTGAGCTGTTTCAAGCACATACATAGCTTCCTAATGTGAGATTTATATTTGGGGTCACCATATATTTGTCTAATTCAAGATGAGCCTAAGTATATTTATCACTAGCGCTAGTACTTAGCTATTTATCAGAACTGATTAAACAGTTGATAATAATTCGTAAAAATTTTGTATTTTAAAAACAAAAACACCACCAGTCTTGTTATGTTTGTTCCCGCACGAACAATGAGAATACAGTACAGCCCCGATTATTCGAAATCCGCTTTATGCGAAACAGATTGCATACAATAATTCCTCCGTTTTAACCGAAGTTGTTCGGGAAATCGACCCATGATCCGAAATAGCCGCCGGTAGTTCCCCTTTCGGCGTTTGCGTCATTAAATTCGCTGCCGGTGATTCCCCAAGCGCGTGTGCGGAATTCACTGGTATGTTGTATGTGCGTGTATATCTATTTCACTCAGGTTCACAATCGCTAAAATGGAGAAGCATAGAAATAAACGTAAACGCGTTGTTATTACCATAGAACAGAAACCTGGAGCAATCAGACGTGCAGATAGAGGTGATTTGCTTAAAAACCTAGCAAGTGATTTGGGTGTGGGCGTGAGTACAGTTCAGAATTGAAAAAAACAACACGAGAAAATTGAAAAGTGGTGTAGTGTTCTGAGATCATCGCAACCATCACGGAAAACTATGAAAAAGGGGGAATATCAAAAAGTGGATGATGCTTTATATCAGTGGTTTGATGTAAAAATTAGCAATCCTAGAAAAGCTTTAAGTTCCATAAGATCTAAATCACGAATATCGAAGTTTTTTGCTGCAGTTTTGTATTTTTGACGTATTTTCATCAATCTTGCATTGGTGGATTGAAGCATGACATTCAGAATTTGCTCATTGACTGAAATACTCCAAACTTGCTGAGCATCAGCGCTGTAGATGTCATTTCTTTTAAGTCCCGGGCATTTAACAACAATGTTGTGTTGTAACGTGCGTGTATTCTTGAGAACTGGAGAATCCTTTCACCATTTAAAGCGATTCTTACCATAAACGTAGTTGCCACTGGGAACATTTTCTGGATTTTCAATTTCACCTAGATTTTCGTTGTCCTCATCGTCGAATTCAACTTCCGACTCAGTGTCATGATCCGGTGGTATATAGTCGCCATCTGATTCGATATCGCTTCTGCCAGAATTGATTGCCTCTGCCCATTTCAGTAAAGTAGCTTCAAAATCAGCTTCTCCATATTTTACTCTCTTTGAGGGCCCAGGATTAGAATCCATACCCAATTTATAAGGCTAAAAACATCAGAAAAATAATAATTCAACATATTTAAGGGGGACCGCGGTTGGCCGCGTGGGTCAGAGTGTCGTGCTACTGATCAGCCGGCCGGCCGGGTCGCGAGTTCGAATCTCGCCTTCGCCATGGATGTTGTGACGTCGTGTGTTTGTACATAATTAGATATATTCTATATACAACCTAGTTTCTGGCTGCATGGCTTAGTCCTAAAGCCAAAAAAAAACATATTTACCGATTGCGAACTTTGAACTACGATATTTCGCTTTTCTTCGAGAAATACAGTCTCCATCCACCGGCTAATAGCATCAAACTAAGTGTTACGAAGGTACGTAGAAGCTCATAAGCGATAGTGGTGGGGATGCGATGAATTTCAGCAGTTGAAACTTGCAGCCGGTCATTTTGACCGGATGTCTGTGGTTAAGGGTTAATGGTGATGAATTTGGGGAACAATTAACTGATACAGAACTAATAAAGACTGTTTGTAACAATGACGATGAGACAGTTTTAAGTGATGCTAGTGACAATGAGAGAAATATCTGCCAAAATATTACATTCTGTAAGTGATTAGAAGCTGTACAAAACGCCTTGTCTCACGGCGAACAACAAGAAAATGCGACAGCAGCCGATGTGCTATCAAACATTGGAGGGATATTGCTGCAAAAAATAGGAACAATACAAAACGTGTACAGTTAAAAATTACTTCATTTATTACTAAATACTCGTAAATATGTATCATTGTATCCACATGTGTATATTTTACTTAACTTTATATAGGTATATCCGTCCGATGAGCTGGCAACAGCGCAATCCAGGTGACAAGAACAATAAGGTCAGCTGCCAAAATTTATGTCTAGCCGGGACCGACGGAGCCATTTCGAACGTCAAAGCATCAATTATCCGACTTTCATTTGCATTGTTTTAAGTGTTGTGCAATGATTTTGGAAAAAAATTCGGTATGGATAGTCTTGTAGACCGTAGTAGAATATATTTCAACTAAAGGGCAATATTATAAAATAAATTTTTTACGTTCCCTAAATATACCTGTCTGTAGCATATTTTCTCACCTGTTACTTGTAAAGTACGTCACCAACCAGGAGTTTTATTTTCTTACCACCCTCATTTTGGAAATGTAGTTTCATGAATAAGTAAGAAAAATTAGATGCGCAACTAATTTCTAGCTTTGCAGTAAGTACATTTGAGACAAGAAACCAATGGAATTATCATCAACACATAAATCCTCACTATGCATCTATGCACTGCTTAGGCCTCAAATAACGCCATCTCTGAAGCAGATGTTACATCACATCAGAGCCAAACATTGATAGCTGAAACATCATGACGCTTAGGCAACATACATACAGACCACATCAAGTGAGTAACAAGTTGATATCTTGTAGAAAAGCCTACATAATGTCAAAAACACCGACAAAATGTCTCTTTTCAAGATATGAACGTAATGAGAATAAGTAAACTAGTATTATAGCTTTCGGTGGTAAACCGCCTGTCAAATGCGAACTGGAATACAGTTCCAACAGACAGTTTGCTGTTTCACCCTTGCAGTGGTCGATTGCGGTAATAGATAGCGCTTCGTGCTATCTTATCTCGATAGACCTTATATCCTGGATAGAGGAAAGTGGTGCAGTTATCGTTCGTCATCCTACCTGCGACCAAGCCTTGACCATGCTGATGAGTTGCCAAAAAGCACAAATTATCTACCAATGGTTGGCTGTCTGTGGCCGGACGGAAGAAAGCCATCTTACTAGTTTGCTTTAATGGCGAGTAATATGTATCTACTATGTCGCTAGAATCGACGGCATCTAGCGACCACAGTAGTGACCCGCAGGGGTATTACGTATCTTGGAAAGTGACATTATGTCGGTTTTTTGTGATATTATCAAGGTTTTTCTACAAGATGTCAACTTGAAACTATCTTCTGTAGCGTACGTATAACCTAAACATCATGACGCTTCAGCTATCTGATGTGATGTAGCATCTTCAGAAATGGCATTATTGAAGGTCTGAGCTGTAAATTGTATATCATAGTTGGAAGGAAACTGCATCGCATAAGTGCATAGTGAGGATTTGTGTGCTAACAGTTTCTTGCCTTCATCCTTGTTTACACATTTTGGAAATTACATATACAAAATTGCTGATTTTCAAAAATGAGATAGTTATATAAGAAAAGAAAATCCCTGATTAGTGAAGTATATCACAACTAAGAGGTAAGGAAATAGGCTACAGACAGGAATATTTATGTCACGTGAAACGGTTATTACAATTTAAATTATTTTCTTTTTCCAGTTATTTAAATTGCAAAGAAATTTATTTTGCGATATCAAAGCAGAAAAAACAAATCAGCAGCATTGCGAAAATGATTTGTGTGTGTTGCGCCATTCCTAATTTTTCTGTGATGTTTCTTAATCACACACAACGCGGGCGCGATGGTGATTTCCTCTAGTGCTTCTCAAACAAAAAACGGGGAGAATTATGATTTATAATTTTGAACATAACCTCTCTCCAGAAAGGACAACACAAAGAACCCGTCTGGTATAGCTAAAACATATACTTCACGGGCAGCATATTCAGTAATATTTTGCTTACATAACAAGTACCCACTGATTTTATACACATACAGACCAATACACACAATCACCATATAACCATCCAGATGTGATCTTGCTACTTAACCAATTTGGAATCTTCTTTTAGTCATATCTTCTCATATTTATACTCTACAGACTATCTTCGCATTCTGCACCAACAAAGCATGTTGTGGAACTGACTTTAGCGTGTTGTGTCGCTGTCTCCATAAATGACGCTTTTGATGTCGCTTACAGTACCTATAGCGAGCAAACGCGGAATGAAGTATTTGCAAACTAGAAACTATCTAGTCAGTAAGTTGACATTTTCTCTATTTTTGACATTATATAGGTTTTTTACGTAACAACCCTGCCAGCTGTCAAATGCAAACTTAGATCATATCCAACAGACAGCTTATTGTTTCACTCTTCTCGATTTTGGAATAAATAGCACTTCGTGCTGTCTTACCTCGATACTTGAATAAAGTTATATAGTAAGCCCGGTTTCCATTGGTTCGGCAACAACTGTAATTACGATGTCTAAAGCTTAGTTATTCCAGAAAAACGGTAGGCCTTGGAATCATCAGATAGTCCTTTGTTTCGTATATGAAATTTAACAGAGTTTGGAAAACTGAGAAAAAGTGAAATGAATCCAGCAGTGAAAAATGTACAGAGGGCTTTGCCTACAAGTTAACGGATAATATTTTGAACATCTGCTATTACCTCTGCTTATTATCGTTATTACCATCAATAAAATTTTATTTTTTTGTTCAGGTTTCGCCATACTTTTTATTTACTTATACGTTCTATTCCAACAACAGATTCATGTCCAAATAAGGTAATACTTAAGTGAATTTAGAACTGAAAAGTCCATTTAAATGTACAAAATTGAAATATAGCGTCGATATGAGAAAACAGGAGGAAGTCCCTAGAAAAAAACTCGAATTGAAAATTTACCAAATCATCTTGTAGAGGAGAATAAGTGGCAATAGCAACATGCAATTTATTCTGAAATCTCATCTCAAGTGAGGTCAAGATTTTGGAATAAAAAAACGAGAATCTGATAATTTCAAGACCTATCTAGGAAATTCTGCTTTTTTGAAGTGAATTAGGTTTGGAAATGTCATGTCATACATTTTTTCAATCCGAATTTAATACTCTATTCATCTGTGCAAGAATCCAGTATGACATCCATAATAAAAAATAATGTTGAAGCTGGAGAAAGAGGTACGAAACGTCATATTAAAATTCTACTTATGCCATCTTATAGAGGAGAAAACCTGGCATTGTTAATTTTCAATTTATTTTGAAATCCCACTACAAATAAGGTTAGGAAAAAATTGAAACGATTTCGAGAAAATTTAGTTTTTTTCGTCTCTCTTCGGAAGTAGTTTGAATTTCGAAACCTTCTAAGTGAACTTTTTTTAACCACCTAAACACCCAACTTTGCCGGCTATCTAAGCGACTTACAGTTTCCGGGATCTCAATGGTGAGGGTATAATTTAAAACGTATACTAAATACTCCACAAAAATTTGCCTCAGAAACAACCAGTTTATCATTTGCCTTGACATTAGCGAACAAAAAAGTTACTTGAACTTATTTTTCATCCTACCTTCCATAAATATACTATATTTGCTCCTTTGTTCAATTTAAAACCCCGTGTTTGTTTTTTGAGCTTCATTCTCCGTATTTTTGTCTGCACTTCCACTTAACCATGCTTTCAGCCTAAGGAAAGCCTCGAGGCTAGAGAAACGTGATATAGAAATACCGAAATACCCACTGCTTCTGTAACCAAGAAACTCCACCTTGAAATTTAAAGGCGTGCATCGCTTGGTGGTATAACATTGTATGCTTTCCCAAGTTATCCATAGCTGGTAACTCTCAATACTTAAGAAACAGACTGTCCCTCTCTCTCATGTGTTCTGGTCATTAAATTAGACCTAGATGGCCTAAAAGTTAATGAATTGTTGATGGAATCGTGATTATATTTAACAACTAGAAAAAGACGGAGATTATGGAATATGCATAATTTTCTTATTTCTCACGCGAAAATAAGGTATGTTTCTGAATGTTGTATGACATTTACATCAAGAAAAACTATATAACTCATTTTCGTGGGTCTGTCTGTGGGACTGTCTGTCGGTCTGTGTGTAGTAGTAGTAGTATTATCAGTGGTGGGTTGGCGAAGCCTGGCAGCTAGGCCACCTTTAACCGTTTTTGCCGACACCTCACAAACAAGCTCCAGCGATACGATATATGTATGTTAGGCTGATTTTGCACCGATATGGTGCTGCCGCGGCTCACTTATCGTGCTATTAGGTATTGAGGAAGGGCTATGTTGTTAGATGGACGGTACTACGTACAGGCCAGGCGAAGAATGTCTATGGACCGTTTGACGGAATTA